TTGCTTGCGGAGGATTTCTGGCAAACATTGCCTGTAATTCCTCGATCGACACCAACGGACGAAATAAATGCTTGCCCGAAATGCTCTACTTTGTGGCGACACGTAAAGACGTTAAAATTAACTACAAATATGCGTGTCTAGCTGCAAAACGATCCATCAGCTGAGATATTCTCACATCAATTGCTGGAAATTGGGAACAGAAAGGTGCCGGTTGATCTGACCTCAGGACGAATTTCATTGCCTCATAACTTGTGCAATTTAGTGACATCAAAAGAAGAATTGGTTGAAAAAGTATTTCCCAATGTTCAAACCAATTATAAGAATCACGATTGGCTGAGTGAACGAGCTATTCTTGCGGCCAAGAACAAAGACGTCTACGAACTTAACAATATCATTCAGTCTAACATTCAGTGCGAGGCAGTCACATACAACTCCGTCAACACTGTTGTGGAAGCAGATGACGCGGTTAATTATCCAACAGAATTTTTTAATTCACTCGATCTGCGACAGCAACACGTGGCCGGGTACAGCTAGTCTTAAATAAATTTGTTTCCAAATGAAAGTTTGTCCTGACAGCAAACTGTCATAGTTTAGAAGTTTCCCTGACTTTAAGACTTCTAGTATAACTGAAAAGTTAGAATGGTTAAATATGAGAGCTTGGAGTTAAATTTGGAACATTTTAGAATTAAGTAGATTTAAAGTTCTTATGGCAGTGGATGTGAAGGATGCTGTCTTCTGTGAAGCGATGCCATGTAGTGTAGTAGATGTTTAGTGATGTTTTTTATGAATCTCCTGCCTCCATCTTCATGGTTGAAGTGTAAGTCCAGCAACCAAGCAGTCATTGCTAGTTGCTTGCTTATCTCATTGACTGAGTCTTCAACCCTGAAGATGAACGCAGTGCATTTCTCCTATATATCAGAAAAATGTCTACCAAACTACACAGTGTCACAGAAGATATAATTCTTCATTTTAGAATTGTAGTTTTAATATTTAATTTTTTTTTTATTTAAAAATCCAGAGCCCGAATAATTATATTATTTACTTTTGGTCACCCTACCCTATAATAGTGTATTATCTGTTTCAGTTCGGAATTATGGTGAAACTTGTTTCTCTGATGTTGAATGCATGGATCGTCACATGCTGTGTCAGTCCACAGAAAGAGATAGCAATGTAACACGTTGCTACTGTGACAGGTATTATTTGAAGGTGATGTCATTCAATTAACTGTGCAGCTAAGAAACAGAAGTCAGCAGGCCATTATTAAAGATAAATAATTAAGTAAGTTTTGAGGTTTTCGCAGTGATGACTATGAAGAAAGTCGTCTTCTGGGTTTAGGCGCCATGTATTCTTCGTTTTGGCCGACGTTTCAGAGGAATGTCGGCCAAAACGAAGAATACACGGCGCCTAAACCCAGAAGACGACTTTCTTCATAAATAATTAAGTTTATGTAGGTTCTGAGATTATCATGCTTGTGAATGTCCGGATGTTGTTCTTTTGAGCTATGATATTGAGTAGCCTTGCAGGTAGATACCAGCATTTCAGAGGAACATATTGCTTTGTCATTAGGATGCATATTGCCAGGAACCAGCTTAGTTATGTATGCTCTTTGGAAGAAGATTAACAATTCAGATCCACAAGAAGAGAAGAGAATGAGGCTGGTTCAGTAGTGAGGACAATATTAAAATGGATCTAAATGGACAGAATTTAGTGACATGAAATGATATACATAATTAATCAAAGTAGCATGCAATGGCAGGTTCATGGTGCATCAGTTAGGCATAACACGGGCAGTAAGTTACAAGACTGAAACCTTCAGAATAGGAGAAATGATTGATAATAAACTGATTTCTTTTTCTCCTCCTCCTCCTCCTCGCATATTTCCATTTTAGACAGGTCACTGGACATAAAGTCTCTGATCTCATCTTTCTTCCTCCAATTGTATCTTCTTGATTTCTTGCTAGCTCTTTCCTCTCTTGAGCTCTTTCAATATCTTGCTGAACCTTCTTTTTCTGGTAATCCCATAGGTCTCTTTCCTTTAAGTTTTTAGTTCTGTTATCCTTCTGTGTATCCTTGTTCTATCCTTTGTTTTTATATCACCAAGCCATTGTAATCATTTCTCATCTAACTATTATTAACACATTCTGCATTCAGCCTCATCCTATAAGAATTGCACCTCTATCACATTTTGTTTTTCACTCAGTACTTTTCAAAAGTTCTTACCCATTGCTTGGATTTTGCATTTATTTCAGNAGAAGTCAGCAGGCCATTATTAAAGATAAATAATTAAGTAAGTTTTGAGGTTTTCGCAGTGATGGCTATGAAGAAAGTCGTCTTCTGGGTTTAGGCGCCATGTATTCTTCGTTTTGGCCGACGTTTCAGAGGAATGTCGGCCAAAACGAAGAATACACGGCGCCTAAACCCAGAAGACGACTTTCTTCATAAATAATTAAGTTTATGTAGGTTCTGAGATTATCATGCTTGTGAATGTCCGGATGTTGTTCTTTTGAGCTATGATATTGAGTAGCCTTGCAGGTAGATACCAGCATTTCAGAGGAACATATTGCTTTGTCATTAGGATGCATATTGCCAGGAACCAGCTTAGTTATGTATGCTCTTTGGAAGAAGATTAACAATTCAGATCCACAAGAAGAGAAGAGAATGAGGCTGGTTCAGTAGTGAGGACAATATTAAAATGGATCTAAATGGACAGAATTTAGTGACATGAAATGATATACATAATTAATCAAAGTAGCATGCAATGGCAGGTTCATGGTGCATCAGTTAGGCATAACACGGGCAGTAAGTTACAAGACTGAAACCTTCAGAATAGGAGAAATGATTGATAATAAACTGATTTCTTTTTCTCCTCCTCCTCCTCCTCGCATATTTCCATTTTAGACAGGTCACTGGACATAAAGTCTCTGATCTCATCTTTCTTCCTCCAATTGTATCTTCTTGATTTCTTGCTAGCTCTTTCCTCTCTTGAGCTCTTTCAATATCTTGCTGAACCTTCTTTTTCTGGTAATCCCATAGGTCTCTTTCCTTTAAGTTTTTAGTTCTGTTATCCTTCTCTGTATCCTTGTTCTATCCTTTGTTTTTATATCACCAAGCCATTGTAATCATTTCTCATCTAACTATTATTAACACATTCTGCATTCAGCCTCATCCTATAAGAATTGCACCTCTATCACATTTTGTTTTTCACTCAGTACTTTTCAAAAGTTCTTACCCATTGCTTGGATTTTGCATTTATTTCAGTTGGTAGGTGTCCATGTATCAGTTTAAAATATACTTTATACATGGTTGAATTGCATTGTTTTGCGATCTCTCTGTTCTAAAATAGTCCTTTTATAATCTGATAAATTATAAATTCTGTGGCCTATAGTCCACAAGCGAGCTATACCAACCGAGCGATCGCTGCTTGTTGGCGAAGTTAGTGCCAACTTTGGTGGATAGAGAGTGTCACATGATCAGTGCAACGAATCCCCACAGCTGTTAATTTCGGTTTTCTAGACCGGAGTCACTATTTCCTTGAAATAGCTCTTCAGTTATTCTCATGAGACTGAGTGGACCCTGTCCCAGACCCAATACTTCTCAGAAAATCTGGTAGCGCCGGGATTCGAACCAAGATCGCTTGATCTGTAGGCAGGAACTCTGACCACTAGACCACAGAGGCGGTCAGTGAAATATAAAACCATTTTTAATTCCTCCATTGATCTCTCATTTGATTTTCCCTTCAGAATTTATTTTGCTTCCCAAATAAAAGGTAAAGTTTTCCCTGTGCTTAAATAATTAAACATCACTCCATGAAGATGTATGGAGGTGAAGTATCAGCTTCACATCCCTGCCACTTTACCCTTGGGGAACAGCCCCCAGTACCCATTGGATAGGTCACTTACCAAATAAATAAATCTGTACATGTGTTTAACTTTCATTCTATGGCTACATGGAATTTACCTAATAAGGAATGGTCCTCAGTCACAAATGAAATGCCACTAAATTGTGTGTGACAAATATGAACATTGCTGACTTGAAATTGTAAATTTTTACAGGTTCTACAGTTGGCATGAAGAGCTGAAAGAATGTGTGCAGGCAGACAATATATCTCTGGGGTTGCCTACTCTTGAGCAACAGGATATTGTCAGTAAGAACACGGGGCAGCAGTTAATGTCCCTCACATACATAGATATTAACAAGGAATGAGAAAATAACAACCCATGTTTCTGGCACAGACCTTGACATATTCATAGCTGAAAACAGTTTCCTGCATATTTCTCTCCCAGTTAACAGAGGCTGACTTCCTCAGAAATGCTAGCATACTGATATAAATAATTTTCTCTTATTAAAATATTCTGTCTTGTTGGTACAGTGAAACCCCTATTTAACATTCCTATAATGTTTTCTTACATTTAACTTTCATTGTCAACAATTTTTGTATGAAATTTCCTGCATTTAAAATTTTCCTCAGTTTATAGAGTTCAAATTCATTTCTACCCAAAGAAACTTAAAATGGGGGTTTTGCTGTATTAGATATATTTCCATCCATGTAAACCCTTGAGAACTTTATTTGCTATGAAAAGATTTTGATTAATAAATTTTATTTCAAACTTTAAACATGATTACAACATGTTACTATCATTTTGTATGAAGTAAGAGACGAATTTTTAAACATAATATTCATTAGATTAAATCTTTGCAACACAAGTATTTAATTTAATTCTAGAATAAGTTATTTAAATTGATGTATTGCTGTGAGTACATTTGCATTAGAGTATAAAGTTGATATAATTGTGGTAGCATAGTTCAGGCAGTTTACCTAATCCTTCCAGCTGCCCTATGGCCCTGGGGTCAACTCAGCCTCTAACAGAAATGAGTACCAGGAATCTTCCTGGGGAGTAAAGGGCAGCCAGCGCACAAGGCTGACAACCTTATCACCATCTGTGAGCCCATTGTCTAGAGAAAATGTGGGAGCCTCGACATCTCACAACCCTATGGGCCTTCACGGCCTGTTACAGGGATAACTTTACCTTACCTTTCTGTATATATCATCAAAGTAATATGTATCATGTTACATTTTTGGTTGGGCCGCGCCATAGCTGAAGCAATTAGTCGCTGGCTTCCCACCGCAGCGGTCCAGGTTCGATCCCAGGTCTGGTCAAATGGGATTTGTGTGGAGAAAGTGGCGCTGGGGTAGGCTTTCTCCGAGTACTTCAGTTTCCCCTGCCCATCTTCATTCCACCAATTGCTCCACAATCATCCTCACCTATCATCTTGGGCTGGTACAATAGGCCAGAAGTGGCTGCAGTACAAGGGACTTAGTCCCACCCCACTAGCATTAAAAAAGAAATTATATTTTTGGTACACTGCAAAATTATATATCTTTGTTCTGCTGTGTAAGTGTTCTGATTCTCCTGAAATCCCTTCTTGTGTTATCTATACAGAACAGAAGTCACAGTCTGAACACAAGATGTTCATTAAGATCAGCATTGTTGGACTGATAGCTGTCATCTCAATATCTGTCTTCCTGCTATCCTGCATCGCATATGGCTGCTGCTCTTGTACTCGGTGAGTGACTATGCAGTTTGCTAATGCAAACAATCACATTTTTTCCATGGATATTGGAATACCTTAGGAGTGCAATGTGGGTGCCTTACTTATAAGTTACAATAAAATGCTTACTGGATAGCATACCACAGATGACTTACATTTGAAAGCTTAATGTGTTTAATTCTAAAGCCAGCCAGCCTGGTCGGGATTTTCATGACTCTTAGCAAACAGTCATTGGCAGTAACAGCAGCTGCTCTTCAAGCAAGTGCACTGTCTTCATATTGAAGAAGAGTTTAAATGAAGATCATTTTCTGTGATGTGTCATTATTCAGTATGAGAGATGGGTACTATCATTTTTGAGGACTGTGTCTTCCCAGAACTGTGAACTGTCTTCTGTTGTACTACTAGGCATCATATACAGTAGTCTTCATAGTCATCACCATGATAAATACATGTCTCTCATAGTTACCGTTTGCTTGTAATCCAGGGTCAGTAACACAAAAACAAATGAGCCTGCCACATCCTGTCCACCAACGTGCCCACTACATCATGTACCACTGTTACAGCAAGATAAATTAGATGCAGACCAAGGTGAGATGCTCTGAGCAGTGTAAGAGAACTGAAGCTTCTTGGTTGAAGCCAATATATAGCAGTCAGATTAGTTGATGTTAAGGTTGTGGTCTTTTGAGACATGATGCAACATAGTTTGATAGTAGGGCATCAGCATCTCAGAGGAACCTGTTGCCCCCGTCTTCAAGGTAGAAAATGGTGGAAGGAGGTTCTTCCAAAATGTTACTTTTCTACAAAACTACATGGCATCACATCCCAAGAGACCATTGTTTTGTCCATTACTGTGAGAACTGCAAGTCTTACAGATTAATAATTATGTTGTCCAGAGATATCACTGCAGGTGATGCAGGTTACTTTAACGTCATTAACATTAACCTTGCAGCTGTACTATGAACACGGGTTCAACTCAGCCTCTGACAGAAATGAGTCCCAGGAATCTTCCTGGGAGGTTAGGTTGGCCAGCATGTAAGGCTGGCAACCTGACTGCCATCCATGAGTTTATTGTCTAAAAATTGTGGGAACCTTGATATCTCAACCTTATGGGCCTCGCGTCCTGTTACAGGGATAGCTTTACCTTTCTACCGTTAATACATGTAGGTTAGTCAATAAGTAAGTTACAAATGGATATAGAACTTAAACAAATAAGAGTACTGATTTGAAAAATGCTTTTATTTCTCAACATAATCTCCCTTTACATTGAGGCACTTGTCCCATCATTTCACAAGCCCCTGAAAACCAGCAGCATAAATTCTTTGGGCTGCTGTCAGAACCAGGCGATGACTGGGATCACGAAGGCATACTGCTCACCGCCTTCCAGCCTCAAGGACAAACCGTAAATGCCGACTCCTATTGCAACTTCCTCAGGAAACTTCAGAAGACCATTCAATGGAAGCAACCAGGACTCCTTTACCTATTATCAAACATAATAAAGAAAGTAAGATTATGGTCTTCTGTAATTGTTACCATGTAGACTAGTAGATATGTTCTAACATTACAAAGGAAACTGAAGCCTCCATCTTTTCTACCCTGAAGGTGCAGGTAGCACATTCATCCTAAACTTTGGTTCATATCCAGCAGACTGTAACATCACATCCATGGGGAGGACAGCATTCTTAATATCACTGCTGCAAGAACCTCAGATTTCATAACAAAAGGAAATGTGAATGGGTCTATAATATGTATTTTTTTATTTATAGAAAAGAAGAAACAGTGGCGAGATATGCCTTGTCCCATTCCAACTGCCTTAGACGATGTAGACATCTGCTAAAACCTGTGGAATAACATCAATGATGCAGCATGTTTTTACAATAATTTTTACATGTTCACTCAGGATAAATTGTATATAAATGTAAACTTGTTTACGAATTTTGCATTGCAATAAATTAATATTGTTTATGTCATTGTCATCATTTACTTTTTTGGAATGAAGATGAAGATGATAAGGTAGGAGAAAATCAATTCAAACCCAAGGTAATCCATGTGGGGTATTGTAACTGCACCATTGAAATCATTCCCCTCCCCCTCTTTTTATTTCACTAGACAATAAGAATTACGAAGGAAGAAAGGTTTAAGACACACAGTCAGAACAAGCAGTAGACGATGAGCAGATAGACCGAACTTGCGCGGACAAGGACATCTGCTAGTCCTTGCGTCCAAGCATCTGGTGTTGTTTTCGAAAAGGGCAGAAATAATACTTCAAGGAACCCCACTGAGTTTCTTTAGAAATTGAGAATTTGACTTACAGTGGCAAGCCACTTTGAGAATTCGAGAAGTGACAGTTCCTACCAGCCGTAAGTCAAAAGTGGGAGTGCCAGGAGATCATTAGCGACCCCTCATAAGTTGCATCGTTGTCAATTTCGCTGTTTGGTCTTTTAGGCCGAAACTCCCTCTAAAACAATCGGTCATTGGCCGGAACCAAAATTAAGCCAACTCCTCTTATTTGAATCCGCCTGTCCGGGAAATTAGGAGGAGAGGAGAATAGGCGGATACAATTCAGTTAGGACCTCTGGCTCGGCAGAGAGTCCAGTTTAAGATTTGGAGTCTGCTACAAACTTTTGAACTTGGCGGAGGCAATCCCCGCGATTATACTTGCTTGTTAAGTTAAATAATTCTTAGAAGTGCAAAATTTGGCCATAACTTAAAAGAGATCTAGCTTAATCCATAAGCGGATGGTTGTAAGTTGACCTTATCGGGTAATTTGAGCAAGTGCAACACCGGCTGCTTGAAAGCCAAACTAAATCTGTGTGGATTTATAGCACTGAGTGACTGTAAGAAAAACAATAAAGTGTTCTAGTGGTACAGTGCATTGTGTTGGTTAGAAGTGCTTCACCCTCACTTGTCTGAGCCTGACCCGTAGCCGACCTGAGGAGAGACTCATCGCCAGGAGCTAGTGAAACCCATCACCAGCTTCCACCCACTCACGCCTTTCCTCCTTTATAATGAATCGCAAACCTCACCTAGCTGTTTGCTGGCGCCCATAACATCAGGTCCCATCCTGAAATTCCAACCCCCGTAATCAGCAACGGAAGGAAGAAGCGGTGGAGCCTGGTCAAGCCGGAACCAGCCACGACCTAACAACTTCAGCAGCGGCAGCACCAGGTAGTGCAGTCAAAGTGACGCCGAACGTAAGGCGAACAAGACGGACAGTAAAAAAAAATGCGGCAA